TTTCTCAAGGAATCGAGTATATCCCCTCTTTTTTCTTTTTAAGATTTATTTACTTATTATGTATACACTGTTCTGTCTGCACGTATCCCTGCAGGCCAGAAGATACCAGATCTTATTACAAGATACCAGATCTTATTACAAGTGGTTGTGAGCCACCTTGTAGTTGCTGGGAATTGAACTTAGGACCTCTGGAAGAGCAGTCAGTGCTCTTAACCACTGATATTACAAAATGTGAATGAATTTCAAATGTAATGCACTAAGAAGCCATACTCTAAAGACTTCAATAACATAATTCCATTTACGACATTCTGGAAAACAAAAAATTAAAAAAAAATTAGGCTACAAGTATAGAAGCAACTACAAGGGAGCAAAGGAACTATTCTGCAATTTTCCTTTCTTCTTAAGAATCTTATTTTTGGGGAATGAAGAGATGGCTTAGTGGTTACAAGCCCTGGTTGCTCTTCCCGAGGACCTAGGTTCAAATCCCAGCACCCACACGGCGTTCACAACCATTTGTAGCTCCAGTTCCAAGGGACCCATCCAATATGCATCTCTGATCTCTACGGACACGCATACATGCACACAAATAAGTGTGTGTTCATGCCCACGCATGTGGAAGTCAGAGGACAGAGGAAGTCAGGTCTCCTTCTACCATATGGGTCCTTGGATCAAACTCAGGTGATCAAGGTTGGTGGCAAGTGTTTTTATCCATTGAGCCATTTTTTAAAAAAAAAAAAATCTTACTTTATTGTGTAGGCTGGTTTTGAACTCTTGCCCTCAACCAATCCTCCTACCTTGAGGTTTGACAGTAGTTAGGACATTACTAGTAGGTGAGTGCACAACACCATACCCAGTTTGTCCTGCATCTTGATGGATCAGTTACAAAATTTATGCATTTACAAAAACGTATGGAATAGGCCAGCAAGATGGCTCAATGGATAAAAACACTTGCCACCAACCTTGATCACCTGAGTTTGATCCAGGACCCATATGGTAGAAGGAGACCTGACTTCCTCTGTCCTCTGACTTCCACATGCGTGGGCATGAACACACACACACACACACACACACTCACTCTTAAACAAAAAACTTAAAAGAACTAGCTGGATATAGTAGTGCAGGCTTGGCCGGGTGATGGTGGCGCACGCCTTTAATCCCAGCACTCGGGAGGCAGAGGCAGGCGGATCTCTGGGAGTTCGAGACCAGCCTGGTCTACAAGAGCTAGTTCTAGGACAGGCTCCAAAAACCACAGAGAAACCCTGTCTCGAAAAACCAAAAAAAAACAAAACAAAAAACAACAACAAAAAAAGATCTGCCTGTCTGTCTCCCCATCCCTGAGATAACAAGCATGCCCACTTTTTTACCTAGGTCCTAGATTATGAGGATGAAACTCAGTTCCTCATGGGTTTTCACAAATGAGCTATCTCCCAACCTCTGTTTGTTTGTTCTATTTGAGCCAAAGTCTCACTACATAATCCTGGATGGCGTGGTGCTGAGCCCCAAGTGGCTACAAGCTAGCAGCAATCTTCCTACTTCAGCTCTTCAGAATGCTGGATTATAGGCATGCAACCCATTTCCAGTACAACCCCATGAGTTCTGATTTTCTGCAGTGTTTATCTGATGCTGCTAACTTTATTCCTACAACTCTGGTTTAGTCTTCTCTGTACTTACTCTATAATTTCCCCAGGTGCTTTTGCTTCAGCTTTATGCCCTAGAGCCTACATTTCCTCACACTCTGCTCTCCTTTAAAAGTCATTCTTGTCGGTGGGTTGTGGCCCACGCCTTTATTACCAGCACTTGGGAGACAGAGGCAAGCAGACCTCTGTGAGTTTGAGGCCAGCCTGGTTTGCAGCACGAGTTCCAAGACAGGTTCCAAAACTACACAGAAATATCCTGTCTCGAAAAATTAAAGTCATTCTTGTTTTATTTATATCATTATCAACCACCAATATGGCGATCTGTCTTCTTTATATCCCCAAATAGTCACTGACTTACTAAACAGCCCCATTTGAAATACCTAATGACAGCCCCTACTTACCAAAACTGAACCTATCCTCTTCCCAAACCTCTTCTACAATCTCATACCTTCCTGAACAGTACTGTTATACATCTTGAGGTCCAAACCAAATCTTAAACCACATTCTGATTTCTCAGATTTCTTTATCTTGTGAAGTTTACTTTTCTCTGCTTCCTTGCTGCAGAATTTCTTGCATTAATTAACCCAATAGGTGCCTGAAGAATCTCTTCTCCTTCGTAGCTAAAAAACTCTTTCTTTAAAAAAAACCAAACCCCGACTGGGCGGTGGTGGCATACACCTTTAATCCCAGCACTTGGGAGGCAGAGGCAGGTGGATTTCTGTGAGTTCAAGGCCAGCCTGGTCTACAAGAGCTAGTTCAGGACAAGTTCCAAAGTACAGAGAAACCCTGTCTCAAAAAACCAAACCAAACCAAACCAACAAACAAAAAACCCAAACACACAATAAAGCCAAGAATCTCTAAAATGGCGTATATGGAAGGCTCTTTCAGCTGCCCTCAGTGCATCTCTCACCAACTCCCAAGCCCTATTGTCTCTTCTCTCACTGTATGCTCACCCTCTCATCTCCAAACCCTTGCACACATTTTTCCTGTCATAAATGTCTTCTGAGTTCAGACAGAAAATTCTTTCTTCTGGGAAGTCTCTATCTCCTCCTATGTTCTCACATTAGTTGTTTGATTGGTTTTCTTTTTGGTTTTGACACTAAGTGTCAACCTGTAACGATGGCGGGCCTGGCACTCAGACCCACCTGCCTCAGTTTCCAAGTGCCAAGATTAAAGACATGGAACACCATGCCTGGTGCCTGAAACTTCATTACCATCTTTTGAAACAGTTACTAAAGTTCCAAGGGTTTTTCTTTAATATCTAGATCACGGTAACATTTCCTTACATAATGCTCTCAAATACAGTTAAACATCAATTCAAGAGAAATATACAGAAAATAGGAATGGAAATTAACCACAAAGCCAAATACTACGCACATCAATATTTCAAATTTTTGTTGTTGTTGTTGTTGTTTTTTCCGAGACAGGGTTTCTCTGTAGCTTTGGTGCCTGTCCCGGAACTAGCTCTTGTAGACCAGGCTGGCCTCGAACTCGCAGAGATCCGCCTGCCTCTGCCTCCCGAGTGCTGGTATTAAAGGCAAGCACCACCACCACCAGGCTCATTTATCCTTTTTTTTTTTTTTTTTTTTTTTTTTGGTTTTTTGAGACAGGGTTTCTCTGTGGTTTTGGAGCCTGTCCTGGAACTAGCTCTTGACTAGCTCTTGTAGACCAGGCTGGTCTCGAACTCACAGAGATCCGCCTGCCTCTGCCTCCCAAGTGCTGGGATTAAAGGCGTGCGCCACCACCGCCCGGCTTTATCCTTATTTTTTGATTGCTAATTTATCTTCACTTTTTCTTTGTTTTTTGACTTGTTGGTTTTCTCTATGAGACTCACTACATTTTTCTATGCAAACAATGCAGCAGTATTAACTTGTATACAGAGACCTATTTCTTTCCATAATGTTGGTTTGGTTAGACACTGGGAAATCCACATATTATAAGTACAATAATCTGACCACAAAACTTAACAATATTTTCAGTTTTACCTTACTTTTCACCTCAATTTTATTACAAATCTTATTTTACTAACTTTGACATATTTCATGCGACGAGACAAAAAAACAATGCATCAACCATCTAATTATCGTTGCAGAACAAAACATATACGTAGATTCAATTATAAAACTGCAAACAACATGTATTGGTTAAAATACCATGCTTTACCGATCTGACACGTCAAATTCAAGAACACAAAGTAGAAAAAAAAAAAAACTCCACATCTAACACATTATTACCAAAGAAAAGCTAGCCCTGCTGAGTGAGAGCGGGAACTAACTTTCTGACCTCTTTTCAAAATGACAAACTAGAACAGCAAAATCACACTCGGGCACATGGAGTACTACTCTCTCAAATCACTCCACAGAGAACTTCATCATTTGCTCCGCCCTCTAATAACTCATGCAAAAAAAGTTGAGCACCCTCAGAGAGAAACAAGACACGGTGCATTCATAGAATGGCTTAGATCCTTTCCTCGGGGCTAAGAAAACCTGCGTCTGCCCTTCGTCGGGGTCCGAAAGGAAAGAAAAACCTAGGCCTAAGGTTTCGCGGATACTGACATCCAGAAACAGATTTTTCGGCCAGAAGTTTCTGCCGCCATCCCTATTTTACCAGCAAAGGCTCGGGCGCCATCGTCTCGATCTTTGATTTTATTATGAGGATGTGGGAAAGGCTACCCAGGATTACGCTAGGCCTCCCCCCCCCATTAAGCTTAGGGGTACCCCTCATCCCTATCCTAAACCCTCCGTCCCTAACTCCTCCGCACCCCTAGTTCCTGGCGGCAAGTCCCCCGGGATGTGTAGAGGCGCGGCGGAACCCACCGGCCTTGCCGTTAAAGCGAGAAGGCCCTCGCACGCCAGGGCCACCGCCAAGGCTCCGGGGGGCCCAGCGAGGGGAAGGGCAGGCAGGGGCGGAGGGACGATGACCTGGCCGGGAGGAGAGGACGGCGTGAGGGGACCCATTGCACCCCCTTGTCCGAGGGCCGCAGGCACCCCGAGAAGGGGATGAAGGAGGAAGAGGGCGGTGGCCCGGGTGCGGCCCCCTACTCCTCCCGCCCGCAGGTCCCCGATGGCGGGGACCGAGAGCTCGGCCCATCCCCTGCTCCGAGCTGGCAGGGGGCGTGGGGGCCTGTCTGGGAACTGAGCGGAGATCGAATCGAGGAACCCCGGGCCGCGCGCGGGGGGGAAGCTGCCTCCCGCCTGAACCGCAGACCCCGGACGCTGTCGTCGCCTGTTCCTCAGGAGAGAGGACAGGAGCTCAGGGGAAAGCCCGAGGGAGGAAGGCATGAAGGTGAGGGGAAGCCGGGGGCCAGCCCCGACAGCCTCTCGGTCCCCCAACGCTTCACCTTCCGGTAGCCGCGTCCCTTACCGGTGATGGCCATGAACTGCTGAATTAACCCCTTCAGCGCCGACGACGCCGCGGAGCCCCCGTGGGCAGCCATCTTACCGCCGCCGCCGCCGCCGCGGAACAACAACACAGACACACACACGGCCGTCCCTCCCCCACACCGTTGCGTGCTGCGCGCAGGCGCCCTGGCGGGCCCAAAGCTCCGCCCCCTCCCGCTTGCGGGCGGCTCGCGCAGGCGTGATCTCCGCCAGCCGCCGCGCGAACAACTGTGGTGGTGTGACTCCCGCGTTGCTTCCTTGCTAGGCTCCTAGTCCTTTGAAACCTTTGATGGCTTCCTCCAGCTCCGAACGTATCCACCTAAATACCGTGTGTGAAGCCTAGTGTCTGAAAGAAACTTCAGAACTGAAATACCAAAACCTTCATGCAATACGCAGGGCTTCACATATACTAGGTATTTTGTTTGGTTTTGGAAAATGAGGGTTTCTTACAAGATCTCCTGAGTAAATTGGGAGCATGGGAACCATGGGAGAGAGTTGAAGGGAAGGGGAGAAAAAAGGAAGGGAGCAAAGAAAAATGTATAGCTCAATAAAATAAAATAAATCTGTGTTTCTTAAATTTTAAGTGTAAATTTAAAACTTAGTAAAAAAAATGAACTAGTCCATAATTTAATAAATGATTATTCTGTTTTTCTTCAACAAATGTCTCAGTATGTCTCCTCTCGAAGTCAGTCTTATTTTCTTCAGATATAAAATGAGGTGTCTTTTTCTCTTTCTTTTTTTTTTTTTTCTTTCCTTTCTTTAACAAAGATAGGTGTAAGCATTGCCGCTCGGGTGGGAAGGGATCCTGACAGGAGCTAAGGAATGCTAGGTGCTGCAGCTCAGATGGAAGCCTATTCCGGCTGTCAGGGTCACAGTAAGTGTAGCAGTTTCTAGGGAAAGGTTTCCCCAATGTAACAGCTCTGCTCCGACAGGAGAGGGCTTCCCCAGCGAAGCTGTTACAATTTGGCTATAGTCTCCCAAGCTGTTAACAACTGTGCTCTGCTAGTCGGGAAGGTTTCCCCAGCGACACTGTTACAGCCCTGCTCGGCTCTGGCTCCCGTGAAGTCATTTCTCTCCTCTGCTCCATTCCAGCGAAAGAAGGCCTTCATCCAAACCTCATTTAAGAGATTTATAGGGAGGAAAGAATCCAGGAGAGTGGCGGGAAAAGGGCAGCAGCCTACTGAACAGGTGCAGGGCTTATATAGGGCTTCTTAGGGGCCGAGTTTATCCAGGGAGAGGATTTTCCGGGTGGGAATTGGTCAGATTTCAGAGCTCAGGTTGGCTAGATTGCATGCACAGGGATTGGTTGATTTTCTGCTTAGTTGGTCAGGGGCAGATTTGGCTCTGGTTTTAGAGCCAAACTGTGTTCTTTTCACTGGCCTTTTTAACTGTTGGCTCTAATTTCAGGGCCAGGGTATATTTATTTCACTGACTCTGATTCTAGGGCCAAAGTGTGTTTCTTTGGCACTGGTTTCAAGGACAGGGTGTATTTCTTTGGTTCTGGGTTCAGGGCTAAAGTATTTCTTTCACTGACTTGGGTCTCGGAGCCAGGGTGTGTTTCCTTCACTGGCTCTGGTTTCAGGGACAGGGTGGGTTTCTTTGGCTGGCCCCTTTTCCCTACAATAGGTATATATGTAGATACAATAAGTAAAATATAGCCGGGTGGTGGTGGTGCACGCCTTTAATCCCAGCACTTGGGAGGCAGAGGCAAGCAGATCTCTGTGAGTTCGAGGTCAACAAGAGCTAGTTCCAGGACAGGCACCAAAGTGACAGAGAAACCCTGTCTCGGAAATAACAAACAAACTACACACACACACACACGCACACACACACGCACACACATACAGAGAGAGAAAGAGAGAGGGGGGAGGGGGAAGAAAACACTGGAGAATGACCCTGAAAACATTAATGCTTGCAACTAAAAAAGAAAGAAGCAATGATGAGAGAGATATCTAGCTTGGTTTTCATCTTTTACTTTTATATAAGATAATAGTATGTAGGGCTGGAGAGATGGCTCAGTGGTTAAGAGCATTGCCTGCGGAAAAAAAAAACCAAAAAAAAAAAAAAAGAGCATTGCCTGCTCTTCCAATGGTCCTGAGTTCAATTCCCGGCAACCACATGGTGGCTCACAACCATCTGTAATGACGTCTGTTGCCCTCTTCTGGCCTGCAGGCATACACGCAGAAAAAATATTATATACATAATAAATAAATAGTTTTTTTAAAAAGATAATAGTATGCAACTTGCATGATTCTAAATACTTATTATTTCAGTCATTTAGACTATCTTCTATTCAGCACCTGGGAGACAGAGGCAAGCAGATCTCTGTGAGTTGGTGGCTAACCTATTCTATTGAGCAAGTTCCAGGACAGCCAGAGCTACACAGAGAAACCCTGTCTCAGCCCCCCACCCCCCAAAAAAAGTTGAAGGATGGAAAGACGACTCAGCTGTTAAGAGCACTTACTGTTTTTCAGAGGACCCAGATTTAGTTCCCAGCAACTGCAGTGCAGCTCACAACTGTCTGTAACTCCAGTCCCAGGAGATCTGGCAGTCTTCTTGGGCATAGCACACATGTGGTATTCCATGCAGGTCAGATACATACAAAATAAAAAAAGAGAAATTATTTTTAAAAAGTGTGTGTGGGGGTACACGATGTAATTGGATGGTCCTAAAGTTATAGATCCAAAAGTTCAGATCAAAGCCGCGCAGTGGTGGCTTTGCCTATAGTCCCAGTGCTCAGAATGCAGAGGCAGGGGGATCTCTGAGTTTGAGGACAGCCTGGTCTAGAGAGTGGGTTCCAGGACAAACCAACACAGAGAAACCCTGTCTCAGAAGAGAGAAAAAGTCTAAATCAATAAGGAGAAAGATCCCTTTAAAACCTGGCAGAGGCAGGTAGACAGGCCTGGTCTACGGAGTGAGTTCCAGGCCAGCCAAGGCTACATAGTGAGACTCTGTCTCAAAGGAAAAAAGGTATAGGGAAGGCAGGCAGAGAAGAAGGGAAAAAGAGAAGAAAATTGGGCTTTGAACCTAGACAGGAATAAGCTAAAAAAGATTGGGGGATGGAATACAGCAAATGCAAAAAGAAAGTCCAGAAATAAAAAAGATTTCTGTTACCAGGGCCAGGGAGATCGCTCAGTATAAAGGCATGTGGCCAAGCCTGCTAACCTGGGTTCAGTCCCCTTGGCCAGACTTTTAGCTAAGCCAGTGTTACCACCATCAGAAACAAATATTAGGGCTTGGTGGAAGAGAAGCATTCACAAGACCCTTGTGGATTTGATTTGATCCCAGCACTTTCAAAAAAAGAAAAATGTCGAGTAAACATTCAGTTAAGGAATTCGGCTATTTAGGGCGGTATGCATCCTAGCAGGAAAACCCAACTCAGACAGCAGGGAAAGTGAGGGAGAGTTCCGTATCAGTGCACTGGACTTCTGCTCCACCTCTCTCTAGATCTGCAGGCACACCCTTGTCTGCAGGAGTGTTGTCCCTGGCTGAAAAGGCAGAGACTCCACACAGCAGCACCTCAGGCAGAGAAAAAAGCGCCATCTCACCTACTAAGAAAGGGACAATTTTCTAGAAGTCTCTTTGGAGACTTTCCTTCCAAATCCATTGGTTTGAACTGAGTTACAGTTCCCATCCTAAGCCTGTCCCTCTGCCGGGGAGGGAGAGAAACATAGCTGGTTAGTATAGCTAGCATATGGCTGTGTGGAGGAAGGTGCTCTCAAGCACCAGAATGTGGGACTTGAGAAAGAGAGAGGAGGAGGAGGAATTGATGTTAATTAGGCAACAAACAGACTCTTCTCCATTCATAAAACTTCTCTGTGAACACGATGAAATGCTCCTCCACTTCCCTTTATTCCGGTTCTCCTTTTACCTAGAATCCTTCTGAGTAACAGTTTAACAGGTTCTTTAATACCAGGAAAATAACCGCTAGAAACTCCTACCTCTCAGTATGAAATTTAAAAATTGATATTGTGCGGTTAAGAGCACTAGTTGCTCTTTTAGAAGACCCAGGTTCAGTTCCCAGCACCCATGTGGAATCTCACAGCAGTCTGTAATACCGACTGGGATCCAACCCAAGGGATCCAATACCTGGCCTCCTCGGGCACTGAATACAGGTGGTGCGCAGAAATAGGTAGAGGCAAAACACTCATACACATAAAAAATAAAAATAAAGGTTAAAAATGTTTAAAATTGTGTCGTGGAATATTATTATTATTATTATTATTATTATTATTATTATTATTATTTGGTTTTTCGAGACAGGGTTTCTCTGTGGTTTTGGAGCCTGTCCTGGAACTAGCTCTTGTATTATTTTAAGACGTGTTACATTTGTTTCTGGGGTAGAACATTTGTTTTAATGATGCAAAGATGTGTTGCATTCTTTCATGTTGCATTTGTTTAACTCTGTGAAACTGTGTTTCTTTGCCTGTCTAAAACACCTGATGGTCTAATAGAGAGCTGAACAGCCAATAACTAGAAAGGAGAAAGGGTAGGCGGGGCTGTCAGGCAGAGAGAACAAATAGAAAGAGAAATCTGGGGACAAGAGCAAGAGATATCAAGGATCTAGAAAAAGAAGGGGCCAACCACCCAGCCACCCAGCCAGCCATGGAATAAGAGTGGAAGTAAAATATACAGAAGTAAGAAAAGGAAGAATCCCAGAGGCAAAAGGTAGATGGGATAATTTAAGATAAGAAAAACTGGTTAGAATCAGGGCAAGCTAAAGCTGGGCATTTATTTTTATTTTTTAAGACTTATGTATTTATTATTTTATTATGTATACAGTGTTCTGTCTGCATTTATCCCTGCAGGTCAGAAGAGGGCACCATATCCTATTATAGATGGTTTTGAACCACCATGTGGTTGCTGGGAATTGAACGCAGGACCTCTGGAAGAGCAGCCAGTGGTCTTAACCTCCGAGCCATCTCTCCAGCCCAAGCTGGGCATTTATAAGAAAGAACAAACTCCATGTGTGATTTATTTGGAAGCTGGGTGGTGGGCCCCCAAAAGAGACAAAAGAGTTTCGACATTCCAACATGGGGCTAGCGTAAAAGAAAATTCAACAATAAAATGGGATTGTGTTTTTGGTTGTGAACCTATCCTTTAAAGG